GTCTCAGCCCTAACATAACATGAATGGACTCTATTCCAAATTCAATAGAGTCCTTTTCTGAACCCTCTTAAGCCCTGTCTTCACTGTTCATAGTTCTGTTGGCATTCTGGTCTTCTGAGCTCCCAAAATAATTGGCCATTAAGCTCCACTTACAAGAACCCAAAGTATTTCCAGCTTGCCCTGCTAAGAATCTCAAAATTCCTCCCACCAATTCCATAAAGCTCAAAAACCTTCTGAACAATATGGTCAGGTTAGTCACAGCAATGACCCCACTTCTTGGTTCCAATTTCTGTTTTAGTCTCCTTTTTTGCTGCTGTGACTAAAAGACCCGACTAAAACAATTTTAGGGGAGGAAAAGTTTAAGGGCTCATGGTTTCAGAGGTCTCAATCCATATACAGCCAGCTGCATTCCTCCGGGGCTCTAGGTGAGGCAGGAACAACATGGAGGAAGAGTGTGGCAGAGGGAAGTGTGGTGATCAGAGAGCAGAAAGGGGAGGGGGTCTCCACTTGCTAGATACAAATACATACCCCAAAGCCACGTCCCCAATTCCAACCTCCTTCAGCTATACCCTACCACTTGTTATCATTCAGTTAATTCCATCAGGGGATTAATTCACTGACTGGGTTAAGACTCTCACAACCCAGTCATTTCTCCTCTAACCTTCTTGCATCGTCTCACATGTGAGCTCTTGGGGGGACACCTCACATCCAAACCATAACATGATTATTTCTTTTGCTATGAAGAAGCTTTTTAGTTTGATGCCCTCCCATTTATTGATTCTTGATTTTACTTCTTGTCTTTCTGAGGAATGGTTTGTTTTTGTGGTACTGGGGATTTGAATCCAGAGACACTTTTCCACTGACCTACATTCCTAACCCTTTTTATTTTTTAATTTTAAGACAGGGTCTTGCTAAAATGCCAAGGTTGGCCTCAAACTTGTGATCTTCCTGCCGGGTTCCTGAGTAGCTGGAATTACAGGTATGTGCCACAACACCCCATACATTGTCTTAATTACTGTAGTTTTTGTAGTAAGTTTTTAAATTGAAAAGTGTGAGTATTCCAACTTTTTTCTTTGAATTCCCATATGAGTTTTAGGATCAGATACCAATTTCTTCAAAGAGACTAGCTTGAATTTTGATGGGGATTATATTGAATCTGTGGGCCAGTTTGGGGAATATTGCTTTCTTAATAATATTAAGTCTTCCAATCCATAAACATAAGATATCTTTCCATTTATTTAGGTCTTCTTTAATTTTTGTCAATAGGTTTGTATTTTTCAGAGTGTAAATTGTGTATTGTTTCTCAAAATTTATTCCTATGTATTTTATTGTTTTAATGTCATTGTAAATGGAATTGATTTCTTAATTTTATTTTCTGTGTATTCATTGCAAATGAATAGCAATACAACTGATTTTTGTAAATTGATCTTATATTCTGCAACTTTGCTGAACTCATTTATTAGTTTAAATAGCATTTTAGTGTATTCCTTAAATTTTATCTATGGATGAGACCATATGATTTGCAAATGGAGATAATTTGATCTAGTCACATACACACAGAAAAACAAAAACAAAAAAGAATTAAAATTCAGTTATTATGGCTCAGGAAATCAGAATGGCAAAGAGATCAGTTATTGAAAACTGAATCATTTCTTTTGTGTACTTTGGCTCCAATTGGCCAAGAAATGTGGTCTTTTGTTTCAGAAATACGAGCAATACCACACTGATGGGAGAAGTATTGTTTATCAATATTTGATTAGATAGAATTTGGCTCATCTTAGTAAGGAGGGTTTCTGTCTTAGGCAATGGTTAAGGTCAAAGGACAAGTCACAGTTCTCCCTGGTAGAAACTGACATGGGTTCAAAGTTCTCATGTTTATAGTTCGAACCCAAGATTTTCTGTTCAGCTCTTTCCCATTTTAGTGGTTACCAACAGAGGAGAGCCTTAATAAGCATCTAACTGGAATCTTTGCATGTGATAGCAATGAGAAATGGATCTAGGGACGATACAGCCTTCTTTATTTGTTTCTTTTTATGTGGCACTAAGGATCAAACTCAGAGCTTCACACATGCTAGGCAAGTGCTCTGCCAACGGAGCTACAGCCCCAGCCCCAGTGTGATACAGCCTTCTATGGAATGGAAGGGATTTTTTTTTTCTGAAGGAGATGAGTCACCAAATTGATGGTCTTAAAACTGAGTAATGGGATATACAAGGTCAAATCGAGATAGAGAAGTAGGGGTGCAGGTTAACTGGCAGAATGGAAGGAGCCTCCTTGTGACAGCTGGTGTAGAAGAATTCTTCTCTGGGAAGGGAAAAGGCAATGGCTATGATTTCCATAAATTTAATCTGTATCTGCCCTACACTGTTGTTGGAGGTGGGGTTGTTTGGAATCTGGTGAAGGGATGGAGTTTGGAATGCAAAAAAAATCTTTAGAGACCAACATCTATATAAAATGAAGAGAGGGAAAGCAAGAGATAGGAAAGGTGAGCTGCAACAAGAGCCCAGGAAAGCCTTAGGAAACCTACAACTGAACTGACTGACAATTGACCAAAATGGCCAAGGTTGTATATCCCCCCTTCACATAGTCACTGTATAGTGGTTTCTTGGGGATGGTCTGAAATCAGATGGGGAAATGCTGAAATTTAGGCAGACTATAAAATATGTCAGTTGGAAATGATGTGTTGTCAGCACTTGTGCCTGTTGGGTGACAAGTCCTTCCTTAAAGTAGAATTTGGGTACTTCTGTATCTCTGTATCTACCATACTGTATCCTGCTTGAAGTCTGAATCTATTGAGTTACTAGTCTAGAGTGATTGGTATGGCAAAGGCTGTTGGCTCAGGCTGCTTTCCCATTCCTCTTCTTGTAAGCTTTGGTAGCAAATGAAGAATGTGCTAGAGGGAAGCCATTCACCAGCATGTGGCCCTTCTAATGAACCTGGGTTATAATGTAAAAGCCATCTTGTTTGTGGGCAGTGAGAGATGCCTTTGACCTTCAGGCAGGAAGAACCACTCTCTTCTTTTATATGGTTTCTGAAAGTACTTTCACAATCTGGAGGAATTGTCATGGAGGAAACACATCTATTGTTGTCTCCATTTCTTTCTTGGTTCCTCCTGTTTTCCTCCTAACCAGGGTGTTATGCCTCATTTCTCAGCTCTGCTCCCTGGGTACCAGCCCAAGAAATGGGTAAGAACTGGGCCCCTTTTCATATCTTTTATCCCATCTACCAAGTAGACTGGGCAGGATGTCCCCTTCTAGCTCTTCTGTCAAATCCAAGTTCTGGTCAGGGAAAAAACAATTTGGCCTCAGCCCACACTGTTTTCTTCATTCCTGCTTTACCACTAATAAAGCTAATAGTTTTATATCCATCATTCTCATGAAGGTGTTTTCAATTTGGAATAAGTGGAAATGGTGAGGAGTTCAATAACTGCCCCCTCCAATCCAGTACACAGGAGGTGAGTAGAGAGACCCTGGGTGCAAAAGTATGGTTAATTCTTTTGATTTCTGCTGTGGTGGTGAAGGTTAGGTATACTTATAGCAAACCTACAAGGTATGTATAAAAATCTGTTGTACCAAATGAGAACATTCAGGGGTTTAGCGATAATTTCACATTAAAGATGAGTATAGTTCTGTATATATCCTGGAGATTAGTGCTTGTTGAGAGCCACAGTTTAGTTGGAATGACGTCTGGCATTTTGCCAGAGGGAATGGTTGAAAGGTGACCCTGCTGGGGGGGGGGCAAAGGGCATTAGGGGCGGATCCTGCTGGGAATAGGGTGGCTTCGAGATTAGGGTGGATCCTGCAGCTTCCGGAGCCCATTACTTTGGAGTTCCCATTGAGTTCTCACGGGAGTTCTGGGAGAATTGTCGCAGGGAGCCCGGTGGAGCGAGTGTGTTTCTGGGAAGTGTGTGTAGAGTGCCAGTGAGAATTGGGGAGTAAAGAGTTGCTGTTTGAACCTACAAGGCTTTGTGGCGGCCCGGTTATTTCGTGCCCAGCCAGACTGCGGCAAGTGCTCTATCTGATGAGCATGTGGTAAAGATTTTCTCTCATTATATTGGCTCTATCTTCATGTTATTGATTCTTTCCTTTGCTGCAAAGAAGCTTTTTAGTTTGAATCTATCCCATTTGATTCTTGATTTTATTCTTGTGCTTTAGGAGTTTTGTCAAGGAAGTCAGGTCCTAAGCTGACATGATGAAGATTTGAACCTGCTTTTTCTTTTATTAGGCACAGTCTCTGGTCTAATTCCTAGGTCCTTCATCCACTTTGAATTGAGTTTTATTCATGGTGAGAGATAGGGGCTTAATTTCATTTTGCTGCATATGTATTTCCAGTTTTCCCAGTACCATTTGTTGAAGAGGCTATCTTTTCTCCATTGTATATTTTTGGTGCCTTTGTTGAGTATGAGATAACTGTATTTATGTGAGTTTGTCTTTGTGTTCTCTATTCTGTACCATTGGTCTACATGTCTATTTTGGTGCCAATACCATGCTGTTTTTCTTATTATAGCTCTGTAGTATAGTTTAAAGTCTGGTATTGTGATGCCTCCTGCTTCACTGTTTTTGCTAAGGAGTACTTTGGCTAATCTGCATCTCTTATTTTTCCAAATGAATTTCAGGATTGCCTTTTATATTTCTATGAGGAATTTCACTGGGATTTTGATTGGATATACAGAATTAAATCTGTATAACACTTTTGGTATTAGGGTCATTTTGACTATATTAATTCTGCCTATCTAAGAACAAGGGGTATCTTTCCATCTTCTAAGGTCTTCTTTAATTTCTTTCTTTAGTGTTCTGTTATTTTCATTGTAGAGGTCTTTCACCTCTTCTGTTAGGTTGATTCCCAAGTTTTTTTTTTTTTGAGGCTACTGTAAATGGGGTAGTTCTCCTAAATTTATCTTTCAGAGGATTCATCACTGATGTACTGAAATGCAAGAACTCAAAAAACTTAACACTAAAAAAAAGAAATAACCCAATCAATAAATGATCTAAGAAAAGGAACAGAAACATCACAGAAGAAGATTTACAAATATATGAAAAGATAAAGAAACATACGAAAAACTCTTCAACATCTCCATGTATTAGAGAAATGCAAATCAAAATTACTCTAAGATTTCATCTCACACCAATCAGGATGGCAGTTATTAAGAATTCAAGCAACAATAAGTGCTGGCGAAGCTGTGGGGGAAAAGGTACTCTAATTCATTGCTGGTAGGATTGCAAAATAGTGCAACAACTTTGGAAAGCAGTATGGAGATTCCTACCCCACTCCCTGGTCTATACCCAAAGGACTCAAAGTCAACATATTACAGTGATGCAGCCAATTGACAATAGCTAAACTGTGGAACCAGCCTAGATGCCCTTCAATAGATGAATGGATAAAGAAACTATGATATATATACACAATGGAATATTACTCAGCATTAAAAGAAAATAAAATTATGGTATTTGCAGTTGAAGAATATCATGCTAAGCAAACTAATTCAATCCCCAAAAGCAAAGGCCAAATGTTTTCTCTGATAAGTGGATGCTGATCCATAATGGGTGGGGGGGGCACAAGGGAAAAGTATAGAAACTTTGGATTGGGCAGTGGTGGAGGAGGGGAAGGGAGGGAGTTTGTGGGGGAGAAAGATGGTAGAATGAGACAGACATTATTATCCTATGTATGGGTATGATTGCATGAATGGTCTACACTACATCATGTACAACCAGAGAAATGAAAGTTGTGTTCCATTTGTGTAAAAAATAAAATTAAATTTAAAAAAGATGAGGATAAATTCCTTGAAATCACAGTCTTTCTTTCCCATTCACTTTTTGACTCATTTTAAACAAACGTCTTCAGTATTTCATTGAAATTGCTTTCAACAACATCAACAGAGGATTTTGTTCTTTGATAACTCTTATCAGATATTCTTCAGACCTTATCTACCTGATTAAAAACTTTTTACTGCTCGGTAGTTTCTGAGCACTGCACCCTCTCCCTTGTTCTTCAAATTCCTTTCCCCACGGGCTTCACTGTTGTGGGTTGCTGGAGTACTCACCTCTCTGACCATGTCTTCTGCTACTGACTTCTCACACTTTTAGTGTTCATCTTTCCCAAAGTTCTGTTTTTGGTTTTCACGGTAGGTAATGTGGTTTAGCTCATTCCACATTTCTCTTCAGCTTCCTCCTAACATGTAGAAGACAGAAAGCTCAACAAACAAAGTTAACAACAACAACAACAACAAAAACACAAAACATTTTTTTTCAGATGCCAGAGAATTCTGGATGTAATCTAAATTTTACAGTCAGACATTGTGAGAGACACATATTATATTTGGAGCTAAATTTTCTATTTGGAAGAGAAAGTCAAGGTATGGGTTTTTGTTTTGTTTTGTTTTGGCATGGTGTAGTTCTGGAGCAGGTAGTTTAATAGCAGTTTCTGTTGAAGCAAAAGATTTCCTGATTCTATGGATCTTATTATTTTAGAAGCAGCAGCTCCTTTAGCGACCCAGTTCTGCAGGAAAGCTTTGGGAATTGTTTCTTGAAGCTTAGGATAGAGTTTTATTTCATTAACTATGTATTTAACCCACTAAATATTCTTTAATAAATTCCTTTCTTTTTAATCTATACACAGTAGCTTCTGTTTTTTTCTTTTTTCTTTTCTTTTTTTGTAAATGAATACTGACCAATACAGTCTTGCTTTTCTTGGAATTTCTTGTTTTTGATTTAAATTCAGTGTGTTCAATGTCATCACACAGTATCATCTGGTACCAGACTGAGGTCTCCTCATTTTATATCAGATGAGATAACTCTTCTAGGCTTCAGATTTATATTTCCATGTGCCTAACGGACTTCTATATCTGGATGTGCAATAAAACCTAAACTTCACTATATATAAAACTGAACCTATTGAGTCTCTTGGTACTTTCTTTGTTCCCAATCCAGATGGTGACCTAGAAACTTCGGTGTCATCCTCTACTTCTTTGTTGCCCTTGTTCTCACCTTCCCATCAGTACCAAGACATGCGGATGCCAGTTTCTAAATATCCAGCCCTTTTCTCCCTCCCCTGTGCTAGTTCTTTAGTTCCTGTCTGGATTCTGGAGTAGCCTTTTCTTCTCCTTTTACACATCCTTTTCCTTCTGATACTTTGATTTTAAATTGCATATTGAAGATAATTGTTTTTTGTATTTATATTTGAACACACATGAAATTGGTATACATTTTGTAATTGATGGTGAATTCCACTTGCTGTCAGCTAGAAAGCTGTTCTAGCATAGTGATTATTATCTGCTTGCTCAAACTGGGTTGTTATTTAGGGTGACTTGAATGGACAACTATAACTTCTTGATGGTTTATTCAACAATCATTGAAGGGCCATTTGAGGAAAAAATATGAATCCTGGTTCTTGTATAGTAAACTTTTACTAACACCTTTGGGTAAAATTTGAGAGCATCAAAAGCTGCGGAGTGGGTACCAAGAGCTTAGGAAAAAAACCCATATGCAACATTGGAGCTTCCTGTTAATAAGGGCTGTGTATCACTAGAGGTCTGGATAGCCGTGATTGATATCAGGCTGTGGAATGGGGGAGGTGAAGAGGAGGAGGTGGAAGTTAAAAAGTGAGCAAAAAGAACTTTTCTCTCAGAGAGATTAAGTCTATCTAATCCCAAACATTTATGAAAACATAATTAAAAAAATTACAAGTTAGCTTTTGCTCTTGCTTGTATGCATTAAAGCTATTTTAAGAATGATTTAAGTATTCAGAAAGGCAGGGGTCTCCAAATAGGTGAACATTACCTTGTTTTAGAATTTTCAATAATGATGGTCTTGTTTTCTTCATTTCTAGTACACGGATGTGACAGCTTGGTTTCTTGAGTTGTAGCATTTGGAAAATGAAAATGAAATGATATATAGTATGCCTTGCAACAAAATTGGAGAGTATTAAACAGTTTTAAATGGGGCAAAAGAATTAATCCCTACTGGCCAATAATCATGCATGGCAATTTCCTCCCTGCCCTTGCTCTGCTTGGATAACCTTGACAGAATGCTCTAAACTTTTATAATTCATTATGAAGCTGAACATGTGTAAGAAAAACAAGTGCTCCTTTCTAACCAGGGGAAAAGGTGTTTTTTTAAATGTAATTTTCATAAACATTTGCTTATCTTTTTTTGTCTCCTTCCTAGTTCTGCACCCCTCCCCCCCCCCAGGTGACTGTTCCCTGACTCAGAGTGAATCCTCCTACTGCTTCCTGCTCAGCTGAATCAACACTTCCGGAGGTTGTGACTAAGAGAAGCCACAGCCCATGGTTATACTTGACTTTTGAAAATCCTGGTTCTTTAAGGACATAATTACAAGGACCCATGCTTATAGAATAAGTAAGTTGGTTTTAGCTATGTTTATGAATTACACTCCCCAAAAAAGTACAAAAATAAGTCAGACTTCATTAATGATAATTTGTCTGTTTTTTTAAAAAATTGTATTGGCTAATTATTCAGATATTAAGAGATCGTGATAATATAAATTCAAGAATTTGGTGTATAGAATCCTTAATGGTCCTTTGCTTTCTTATTCCTGGCTCAAAATAATGGGAAATACAAAAGAGAAAAGATATGATCTCAGAAAGGCATGATAGATACTGTGTCTCTGAACATTATTTTGTCAGCTAATTACCATGGAGATCAATTAATCTCTAAGAAAAAGAGGAATGCTTCATAACTCCAACACTAAATAATTTCCTTTTTGTATTGATCACTAAACTATGAGTATGCTTTTAATTTTTCCCAGAAAGAGCTTCCATCATGAGAAGGCAAACTGTATTACTATGCGTCCTCCACCTTGATGTTTTTATTATTTTTAATCTTTAAAATATATTTTAACATGTCTGAAATTTAGGATATATCTTATAATTGAAGGTGACTTCTAGTTGCTGTATCTATTAGGTTTACTTTCCTAGGCTTAGTGCCCACAGCTGTCCAGCAAGAAGGGCAAAATCACTGGTAGACCAGCCACTCAGGTACGACCACGGATCCACCAGAGATGATAAGCAGGTTTAAAGAATTTACCTACCTCTTGCACTCACAGCCAAGTGTTTTGAAAACGTCATCTTAAGCTTTCTGTTTTAGGTTTCCTGTATTGCCTTTGATTCTTTTTTGCTCTTGCTTCTGTCACCAATATTTAATTGAACCTGTCAAAAAACCTTACTGATGTCCTAATTGTCAAATATAACAGACTGTTCTCTGTTCTTACTTTTGTTGAGGGTTATTTTGTTTTGTTTGAAGCAGGTGGTTTAGTTGACATCTTCTCTTCCTCAGATATCCTTGTTGATTTTCCTTCTGATTCTTCAGTTTTCTCCTTAGTTTCTCGCCCATTGTTTTCTTTCTTTTTTTTTATTTTAGCATATAACTTTATTTATTAAATTATTTTTATTATAATTTGTTATATATATACACATATAGAACACAATTTTTCAAGTCACTGGTTGTACACAAAGTATTTTCACACCATTCGTGTCTTCATACATGCACTTAGAGTAATGATGTCTAACTCATTCCACCATCTTTCCTACCCCCATGCCCCCTCCCTTCTCCTCCCTCAGCCCTTTGTCCTAGCTAAAGTTTCTCCATTCCTCCCATGCTCTCTGCCCCATCCCCATTACGAGTCAACATCCTCATATCAAACAAAACATTTAGCCTTTGGATTTTGAAATTGGCTTGCTTCACTTAGCATTATATTCTCCAACTGCATCCATTTACCTGCAAATGCCATGGTTTTATTCTCATTTATTGCTGAGTAATGTTCCATTATGTATATATTCCAAAGTTTCCCTATCCATTCATCTACTGAAGGGCATCTGGGTTTCTCCCATTGTTTTCAATCTATTACCATTGCCATCTCAGGGGCATTTGACCATACTCTATCTTCTATTGTATTAAAGGAACAGTTCTTCTCCCAAATTTGTAATCCCTCTTGGAGATCACCCTATGTTTTCTTCCCACTGAAAAAGAATGTAAAGCTTCTCTGCACGTCTTCATTGCTCATTTACTTTAAAGCACTTCATAATTAGGCTTATATCCCATCAATCTAGTGATACAGCTCCTGCAAAGTCATTGATGACTTTCTAACATTTTAAGAACCTCACTCTTCTTCGATTTTCTTTCTTGCACTTGGCCATTTTGATCATGTCCTTCGTGCAACTCTCTCCTCTTTAGTTTGTGTGACATTTGCTTTTTGCTGGCTCTCTTCTTGCTTTTCTAAACATTCTCTTTTGGGCTTCTCCAGTTCTGTTGTTGATTCCTTAGACACTGAGGTTTCTTATCACAGGGCCCCTTTTCTCCTCTCACCCAGAAGCACTCCTAAATCAAGCTCACCCTTTTTCATAGCTTTAACCACACCATACATGCTGATGACCAGTTTGTAGTCTACAGAAGTCAGCATATTTTCTGTTTTGCTACACAGAATTTTCTTTGACAATTGACCTTGGGCCTGCTTTGGGGCTTGACTGTAAGAGACATATAGAGATGTCCATCATAGAATCCCTTTTTGTTGGTGCAAAATTTGCTTCAGGGCAAAGGTTATGACATTTTATGTTTATTTCCTCTTTTAACTCCCAGGGCTCCTCACTTTGCCAAATATAACTCTGGTCCTCCAATGGACTAAGCTTTGAAAACAACATCTTCCTAACTTTTTCTAAGTCAAGGAAATATCAGACTTTTCGGACACATTGCTTGTTTGCTTGGGTAGGTATATGAGGTAGATTAACAAACATACCTGTCTAATCGGATGTTCTACAACCACTTACAGTGTGACGTGTCCACCAGTTGGTAAATATCATCTCTGTCTAAACAGTTCCCAGGCTGGAATCCTGGGTGCTATCTTGTGCTTTTGGTCTTCCCCTTCCCTTGTTAGCCAGTCCTGTTGATTCTGGTGTCTAAATGTCCCTTAATGCCACCTTCTTCTCTATATCCTTGGTGTCATTGCCTCTGTTCAGCCCTATTCACCTCTTTCCCCTGGTGTTGCTTCTTCCGGTTGGTCTTTACTGCTGTCAGAAGGATCATAGGTCTGGTTACACTTGTTGCCTACTTAAGCCATCTGTGGTTTTATGAGCAGTTGGATCTTCTCAGGGTCTGTGACACACTCCTTTCATACTCCTCCTGTGTTCTCTCTTGCCCCATCTTTCACCATCCTCTGTGCCCACCATACACACTATCTCCAGCCTCCGAGTCTTCTTGTTTTTGTTGGTTCTTCTGTCTCTGTTGCCTCTTCCTCCCTCCACCCTTTCCCACCTGTTGCCTCTCAAACATCAACTCATCAGGAGAATGCAAACTGAAGCCACAATGAGATATCATGACATAGGTTCCAGGATGGCTAAAATTAAGAAGACTTATAATAACAAGTGTTGACAAGGATCTGTAGAAGCTAGCGCTCTCATTTATTGCTGGTGAGAGAATAAATTGGCGAAACCACATTAACAAACTGTCATCTATGAATATATGTAAGACCATTTAAAAGCTGAACATACGTGAAACCATTTAAAAATCAGCTCCTGTTAGAAATAGTTGGGTTCAATATTATGTTCGCATAGCTTTGTACTGTGGCATTTGCAACACTTTTTTGTACTTTCTTCTTCT